TCTGAGCATCAACCTTTCACTTCAAAGACGTTCACTGGTGCCTTGATGTGTTGCCTGCTCTGACCATCACTAACAGCTGCTCCGCTTCTTCTTCACTCCTTGAACCCGTTTCTGTCTTTAGTTCCAGTTTTGTTGCAAGAACGACATTGCAGCCATTCACTGTAATCACCATACTCCAAATGTATTATATGTTCGAAAATTGATTTGTTCCAGAAAAAAGAAGAAATAAATGATTCAAAGTCCCATTTAGGCGACGTCCCACACTCTAGCATGATAGATGAGAAAGGAATCATTATTCCCAAAATTGCCCGGCGACTTTTTCATTTATTTATTGATCCTTATTAAACCACAACAGTGCAATTAGGCACAACATATTTTATTAATTTCTTCCTTTCTTTGGCCCTCTGCCAATGGTACGCTTCGGTATTATAATACCATCATTTGTCAGGACATAGCTCCTATAGACTTTATATTGTAAAGTTTGAAAAAGAGGACACATTGCTTCCTAATTACACTTCATTACAACAGGCATGATTGTGCACTTGAAACCTAAACAGGAACCTATGTAAGTCTGCACACAATTTTTAAATATTATTATTTTTAACTGATATAATTTAACTGTTGTCAAATATATATCTTCAGTTACTTTTGAAATGTTGCTCGGATGCATTTTTCTTTACCATTTGTTGTCAATTGGTTAGAGCATGGTATCTTTACAAAACAGTTCTACATGGAAAATAACATCTTTCTGTAAAGGGGGGGCTCTCTACAACGTACAATCATGAAACACATTAGAGAATAAACAGCAGTCCTCTCTCTCTCTCTCTCTCTCTCTCTCTCTCTCTCTCTATGTCTCTGTCTCTCTCTCTCTCGCTCTCTCTCTGTCTCTCTCTGTTATTTTTAGTTTGTTTGACATTATTTAATTAAAGGGAGAAAAACACATGAACTGCTCTTGGCAAAGCATGCCACAGTACTCATCACGTCTTTTATCCAATTTAAGAAGGAAACTGAGGCGAGATAAGCTGTTGAGTTCAACTCCACAAACATGGCTGGCAGAAAGTCGATTTGTTTTGATGCCAGGAATAATATATTTGATACGTTTGCTGTTAGTTTGAAAGCCTGGTTGTTTTTGGGAATGATATATCATGAATACGTTTTGCATTTGAATATCATTTGGGCAAAAGCACTGCTTGAAAAACAATTGATTCAGTGTGGGGGTGCAACTAACAATAACCCCCATTATCACTTGTTCCGTTAGTGTTAAAAAAACAATATTTCATCTACAATTTGAGACAAACAGCTGCTTGAACAACAACTCTAACGGAAAATCCATTATCGAAAGGTCGCTGATTTCTACAAATTGACTAAAGATTCAGTTCCCTTTGCTGCATATTTTTGTAATGAAACACTTCTGGTATTTTGTCATGAATCACCACCATGACATCTATGTTATCTGTGGTTCTTTAGATTCTGCAGATCAAGAATAACGTTCATTAGATGTTTTCCATCGATTAAATAATACATTCTACAGTACAGTATGATGCAGGCCTTTCACACTTTTCCAGCTCTGAGTGCTTTCCAGTTGTTTTATTTGTTATTCGAGCCTTTAAGCCGCATTACCCAACCCATAGTTTACTGAAGGCACTTTAGCAGACCCAGAATTGCGTTCTTGGCTTGAAACGAGCTTCTTCAGATGAACACCCCCCCCCCATATCAGTCACACGCTGCTGCCTCCTGATACGATTGGACTGACCTCTATAATATTTTCTGTTTAAGCCTTTCACTGAATCAAATCAATATCCAGCTGTGTGAAATCAATACATGTGCTGAAAGCGATAGTGTCAGAGGTCTAAGCGCTACGGGTTGGGATGGGCTGACTATTATTATTATTTTTTTAATTCTTAGCTCATCTTGGACATGTGTTCGCAGATCCCAGGTCAGGGACAGAGAAAGAAAGGTGCCCCGACACTGTGAGTCGGGGTGCTGGCAGGGTGAGATTCTCACTGAATATTCTCATTGCCTTGGGACTGAGAGATAAGTTCTTTCAGGAGAAGATACTCCAAGTCAGTAGACAACTTCTTGTCAGTGATAAATATTGCGTTCAGCTTTTTGCATGCTGGTTGTTGGAGTCGGAGCATCGAGATATAGGGATAAGAGACGGGAAGAACTCGTATATCCTCTTCATGTCTCCTCTACAACTCAATAGCTGGTTACTAATGGAGAGTGTTGACCCTTTTCACAAGATGATCTCATAAATCACATTGGACTAAGGTGTTTCTGTGTTTTATCTTGAACAATATTTATCAGCTAAACGCGGCGACATTGCAAACCAACAAATACTGCTTTCTTTTATAGGTCTATATCTTTTAGACAGGGTCAGGTTGTCTGAAGGATGCTGTACTCCTTCGCAGAGCATCCTCACTCTTTGGCTTTAGATCAAACTAAAGGAGAGAATAAATGTGGTTATCTGCATGCCATATGTCTCATTAAAAACAATTCTCTATAGAAATCTGTTTTGGAATAGATCTAAAATGATATTTTAGTTTGAAACATTCGTATGAGTATCACGCTCTTCCCGTTCTTTTACATTTCAAACATCGCTGTTAAATATCTGTAGTTTGGACCTTTATGCAGAACAGAGGCTGACCTTGGATCTGACGTTAGTTATGGATAGAACAGTTTCATGGTCAAGAAAAATAGTTTCAAAATATATTTAAAAAAACGTTTTCAAACACCTTTATGTAAAATAATCTATATTCGATGGTCCAAATGTTTGCTGCCAATTCCCTCCAAAATGTTGATTAATACTCTGCTTTTCTATTGGTCAGGAGAACTGTTGTTTCCTGAGCTCACCCGAATGAACACAAATTGAATTGAACCAATGATTCTATTATGTATATTAAAGGATTGGTCTCTAATGACCCAGAGGGAGAATATGGTGCACAGACAGCAGTCGATGAATAAATAATGAATGAAAAAAACCACAGCGATGAGTAAAAGCTGGAATAGATTCATAAAAGGACACAGTTGAAAGGTACACTTTTGACCCCTAGTGACGGTGTTGAGAATTGTTATTAAGAGTGGGTGCCATTTTGTTTGTTTAGTGCTCCAGGGACTAAAGAATTACATTTCTTCTAGTTTCACGCATGATCGACTCATGGTGGGAGAAACGTGTTAAGAGTTATAATCTGTGAAGACCGCTCGCAAGGAAACAACATGGGAGTATTTTCCGGGCTGCAGGGAGTTGGAGGTTGCAGTACTGTGACTGGCAATAGGACAATTGTTGGCATGTGTTTTTAAAATGTAGAATGATGTGCAAAGTTGTTATTCATCTTAGACACAAACAATGTGTTCAGATGAACTTTTGTTTGTTTACAAGAGAGCAAACCCTATTTAAAACATCAGTTTGTTCTTCAAAGCTTTAGTTTGAGGTTTAATCAGTATTAAAACAGTTTCATTTAGAAAAATAAATGAAATTAAGTTACTTCCTTAAAATGACCTCATCAGCACAAGTGGCTAAAAAGACCACGTTGAGATCTAGAGAACTATTTTGTTTTTTACAGTGAATAATTGTGTAAATATTTCATATTTTCTGTGGATATTTCAACATGTTTTGATTTTGACGAAACACCATCTATGTGGCGTAAATATTTTATAGCTCCAATGTTGAAAACACCAAGTTGGGACCACAGGGTGCTTTTAAATTACACAGAGATCAGCCTTAAGAGTACATTTAACAAGCGGCATTCTGCAACACTTAATGAGAGGCTCTTGTTGTATCTACAAAAAGAACAGCTCCAGGTGGGAGAGCAAAATATGTTTATGAGCCAAAGTCATGTCTTCATCATGTCGTTGCATTTCTGAAAATAAGGCAATATGTGCATGCTTTCGACTCACTGAAAGCTTTTCAAATGATAAATACGACCTTTTAGCTTTTAAATGTATTGACTACGGCGTGAATGAAACATTTTTATCGAGCTGTAAAAGCTTTTTACAACAAGCCCACAGCGTTTGTAAGATTTAAAGACCGTCACTCGCACTGCTTAATGTGTGAAACGTGTCAGGTCGGGTCACTCCCGTAGCCTGAGGGGCATTGAGGCGCTTTGATGACATCACAGCCCGTCTCCAAACATCCCGATCGTTCACCACTCTCTGGCACCCCACCACCACTTTCCCCGTCCACCTCTTTTATTTCCGTCGGTCATTCTCCCCTCAGCCTGTCTGAAACTGTTCTTCCCTCAACTGCACCGTACATGATGGTTATTGTCTAGGGACCCATTTATTCTTGTCATGTGTCCGAACTCTCTCGTCTCCGTCAGCGGTTCAAGAGACATATCAAATAGCCAGTTACCCTGGAGAGCCTGGGAGAAGAGAAAAAGTCACTCATTTGATTTTCTTAAGATCATATATTTTTCTAAACGTTTGTGCATCTTTCATTCCATCTTTGACGAGCCACATACGTGGGATGACACAGAAACATCAACTGTTTATATATAGGCAATATTTAGTCCTTTTGATGTCCTTTGTAAGGTGCCCTGCGGAATTCTCTCTCTCTCTGAAGTGATTGGTGCCCCACTAACATTTTGAATAGATCTCTCTTGATGTCAGATTCACAATTTTTGTTGGATCGATTGTGAAGCGCTGTATCGATGGGCTCCTCAAAGGGTCATAACGTTTCTCCTCCTCTGTTTGTGTCATCAATCTTTCAGCCTGAGCATGTCAACTGGAGCCACACCATGACTTCCCTCAACGAGTCAACCTCCCCTCCCTCCTTCCCTCTCTCTTCCTTTGAGCACAATGTCTCCCACTTTATCACCAACGACCCTTCATACTCCCCCATTCCCTTCTCCACTTCCTCCCCGCTGTCGTCGTCTAACTGCACCATGTCTCCGTCGGCCTCCTCTCCTCCCTATAACTTCTACGCCGTGCTGCTGGTGCTCCTGATCTTCTGCGTGGTGTTCGGGAACGTGCTGGTGTGCATGGCGGTGTCGCGGGAGCGCGCTCTGCAGACCACCACCAACTACCTCATCGTCTCGCTGGCCGTGTCCGACATGCTGCTGGCCACGCTGGTCATGCCCTGGGGGGTCTACCTGGAGGTGTGTGCGCTCTTTTGTGTGCTGGTATTGATTTATTGCGTGTCTGTATGATCAATGACCCTCTGACACACCCTCAGCTTGAGGCAGTGGGAACTAACTGTAGATAGAAATGTTGTGGATTGGGTGGATTTCAACACATGGAGAACAATTGAAGGAACGTCATGGTTAAAAGCCATTGCAGAAGATATGGAAATGAAATGGAGATTGAAGCTTTAACAAAGGTTATGTTACGAATGAAGGCTGTATTTATAATTATGGTCATTATAGATACATTTTCTATTTTCTCAGTTGATTGATGAGTCCTTATAGAGCTTTCAAAACATGTTAGTTGTAGCTTTAAAATCAATTAGTTTACATTTCTGATCTACTGCTACATCATGAACCATCTTGATCTCTCAGGTCTTCTGGGACGGGTCTGCTTTCTGTCCCCAGAGTCAGATCCAAACATGGAGAAGCAGCGTTCAGTTATTAAGCTCCAAATATCGTGAACAAAACTACCAGAAACCTGCTGCAATCCAGACTGACATTTCTGTTGTAAAGAACTTTGAATTGCCTTGTGTTGAAAGGTGTTAAACAAGGACTTTGGGAATAGTAGAAAAAGCCCATCAAAAGGTCATGTCATGAAAGTGATTATTGTGTATGACCAAAACATGTTAAGTTTATCACATTAGACAAAGAATCTTGTAAAAAGCAAAATAGTTCCAGATGAATTGTCTGTCAATCGACTGAGAGCTCTGGAACAAACCACACAGGAAGAGTGAAGGTGGGATTAAGAGGAATATGATCCCATTGCCATATACTTAATTATACTCTGCTATTACATTTTCAAAAGCTTTCTGTCATCATTAGCATCGATCTTCCCTGAGCTTTCAACTGCTGCGTCCTCCAATGCTCGGATCCTGATGCAGATTTTATAGTTTCTACCATCAGCGCAACTCACATTTTCCCAGAGCCTGAGGGGACGTATTCAGATTTCTCATTTCGTCTGGCAAACAGACTAAATCCCAGAGATAATTGGTTAACTCTCCTACGAAACAAAGGAGAGCAGAAAGTCATCTGATTTAGAAGATTGGTTTGGAAAATGTTTGGTATTGCTGCACCAACAAAAAAGGACTCAAACGGTGAAATTAAAACGTTGCTGAATAATTCCCTGATTAAATTAGGCTCGAGGATAGAATAAAAATAAAACTTGAATTGACTAATTAGGTCTAGGGAATTATAAACAGTTTCTCACAGACATTTATTTTGGCGTTACAGAAACACATACAGAGTTTAACTTAATAATAAACAGTCTGTAAACATTTTAATCCCTCAATTAGAATGCTGCTTTCTGCCCTCATTATAATATATATATATATATAATACTTACTTAAAAACATTTCTCACAGACAGAAAATGCAAGGTGGACAATTTCAGACAATTCCTCACAGACAATGAAAATGTATTAGCAAAATACTAATTACTACATATACCCTGTTGCCTGTTAAGTTGGAATAAGACACATTCCTCTTTTTATTCCTTTTCACACACACAATCTTTATGGGCAACAGTGTAGTTACGGTAACCCTAAAAACATAACCTTTCCATTGTGAAGTTGGGATAAATTAAAACTTTTAAATTTGTGTTGGGTAAATTGGCTCACTACATAAATAAATTCATTATGGCCTAAAGCAGGGGTGTCAAACTCAATTTCATCGCGGGCCACATTAGCATTATGGTTGCACTCAAAGGGCCGGTTGTCACTTTAAGACTATATAAATATACATTTATATAATATATATTAAATAATGTATTATATTACATGATTGGCTCTCCATTGGATTATTATCAGTTCTGGTAATAACTAATAACGTCTGAAAGCAGAAGTCAAATAATTTAAAGCAAATATTCAACAATTACACCAATTGTTTTGTGTACTATATTGTTTGCAAGCTCTTGTGGGCCACATAAAATGAGGTCACGGGCCGGATTTGGCCCGCGGGCCTTGAGTTTGACACCCCTGGCCTAAAGTAAAGAAATATATAATAATATCATTAAATATGAAATACCTGTGAGTGATTCAGCCTGGTTAATATGAACTCTGCTCCACAAGGGCAAAACCAGTAAAGGAATTACATCCAGGCTGAAAACTATTGAAGTTAAAGTAGTGTATTTGATATCACTTTATGTCTGCTTTGTTGAAGGTGGTGGGAGAGTGGCGCTTCAGTCTCATCCACTGCGACATCCTGCTCACGCTGGACGTCATGATGTGCACGGCCAGCATCCTCAACCTCTGTGCCATCAGCATCGACAGGTGGATCCTTCAAATAACTTTACTCTCATATTACTCTTTAGTTTTATTATTCATTGAACGTCTAACAAACCCACACTCTTTCTCTCTTTCTTTGTTGAGAAAAAGACCCTTCTCATTCCATCCAGAATGAGAACGGAAACAGCAAAGATGACAGGGAATCAATAAGTGATTTCTTAACTGTGTACTCTCCCCTAACCTTGATGTTAATTGGTGCAGTTTGGGCTACAGAAAGTACTTTGGAAATAAATCTTTCCTGCAGCTGGACAGTCACCTCACACCCTGTCATCATCTGTTTGTCCTTCAGCAGGAAGCTACAGGCTTCTCTGCGTCTTTTACAATGTCCTCTGTCCAGCCATTAGAGTGGATCAAGGAGACTGTGTTTAGTGTTTCACCTTTGTACGCCTAACGGGAAGTGACCAGACGCTCTAATTACAAAATGACACATTGACCATTGACCAGTCATTTGATGGAATAGCAGATGATAGCGTCTAATTGCATTGTCAAAGCCGTAAACGGGGAAATATACACCGCAGTTACAAAGTTGTATCGGCTTCCTGCCCGAGCTATTTCATTTAAAACAGCTACTACAAGGTTAAAGTGCTGACAACGTTGATGTGAGAGTGCTTACATCCACAACAGAACAAGAGTTTTTTATATATGCAATCGTGGCTGACAGGAGGTAATCAGCATCAACCCAAATAAGGTCATTATTTCTCATTGCTCTCATACAGTATGGTTTGACAGAAATGGGAAAGAGAATGTGACTGTGTGTAGGGCTGGGCGCCGAGAACTGGTTCTAAATGGTCCAATCTATCAGAATTATGCCTGAGGTTAATACATTTACATTACATTTCATTTAGCTGACGCCTTCATCCAAAACGAGTGCATTCAACCATGAAGAAACCAACTCAAAAAAAGCAAAAGTCATTACATTTTTTTGTTGCGATGCTGGCATGTTTTTGTCGAGCTGCAAAACGTTGCTGTTGGAAACTTGCAAAAAGAAGCTTCTGAGTTTGGACGTAAGTCTGCAACAGTTTGATATTGCACCAGAAATGTTTACATCTCAACGAGTTCACACAGTCTCGTCAGGTCAGGCCCAAACATATTAACAGACTTCCTGAAACAATCATCTATTTGAAAGCTTAGTGTCATGTTTAGAGTCCTGGGTAACTCTGTGTTTTGCTCTTATTCAGAAAGACAGCTGTTCTCTTAAGTGGACCGCACAAACCGGCTCTTTAAAGTAGACGACGCTTCCTTCATTTTGACGTGCTAGCAGGTGTGTTGTGTACTTGTGGCAGTGAAACAGGCCGTGACCGTTTGCACCTGAGGGGAAAAGTGTCAATCTGTTAGTCTGCGTTCTCTCTCTACTGCTCGAGTTTACTTTCAAATATGTGTGAACATGACGACGGGATAATAAAGTCCGAAGAAGCATCGATGTGTGTTCACTCCATGGAAAAAGGAGTTCAAATGCAGGCACCGTGACTGAGTGAGAGAGAGGCCTGCTAACATGTTTTCTGTCTGCTTTTCCAATCTGTGTGTGATTGCAGATACACAGCAGTGGCCATGCCGATGCTCTACAACACCAGATACAGCTCCAGGAGGAGGGTGGCGGTGATGATTGGTGTGGTTTGGTTCCTCTCTTTTGCAATCTCCTGCCCCTTGCTGTTTGGACTAAACAACACAGGTAACAGCTTCATCTGATGCCTGCCCTCAACTCGACACCCATTTATTTATTCAACCAGGAGAAGTCTCATTGAGATTAAAAAACGATTATACAAGAGATAGGCCAAGATAGGCAGCAGCACAGTTACAGACAACAAATTACTAACTCTAACAAATTAAAAACTAAAACAGAGAACATTTTATAGTGACAATCAGAGATGTCATATTCGTGCATCTAGACAATGGCCTGCTTCTCGGTCATTAAGAAGCACTTCTAATCTGTTACGAGAGACCAGCCCCCTGGGTTTAAGCTCATATTGAAGCTGGATTCAAGCAAATGGAGCAGCGTAACTAAACGCCCTTTTCCCCAGCTCAGTGTGGAACAGCTAGTAAAAACAAGTCCTCGGAGCAAAGCCAATAAGTTCCCATACTTTTCTGAAGGCTTTAAATCCATACATAAGGTGAAAGAAGACCAAGAATAGCCTTATAAATACGGATTTGCCAACAGTCTACTGGTGGTCAGCGCAGACCATCCAACACGAGCATACCAGAAACAATGGTGCTTAAGGTTTGTAATACATCTCAGTGCCCCGTGGTAGACAGCATTTAGAAGATGCGTTCATATAGGCAACACCACCTTGATCTAGCACAGACATAAAGGTTGCAGCAACAAGCCACTTGGTTAGATGTTGATAGCTCCGCCCCCACGGCACAGGCTAAAGCTGCGGGTGAATAGTGAGTGATGTGCTTCTCTTAAATGTTGCTACCTCATGGAGTTGTGGGATGCCATTGGGATGCTCCGATGTACTCTATGCTCTCTATACTCTAAAACGAAGATATGAAAAGGAAGCATTGAAGCACCTTTCATTAGCAGTTAGAGAATCGACTAGCTTTGATCAAAGCACTTAGATACTACCTGCTCTATTAGACCCCAGCTTCAGTGCTTGGTGAAACCCGGAGTGGCATAGCGGACATTTTTCTTATTTTCCCTTATGTAAAACTAGATAGTTTCACCCCGCCAGGCCCTTTAAAGGTCCCTTCAATTCAACAATCCCAAAAATGAAAGATGCTGATCTTAATTTTGGAGAAGTGGTCTTTCATGGTTTAGTCAACAGCTGTTAAGGGATGTTTACCTAACTGCAGTTTTCTTTATGGTCCTCTGAGGTGTTATTTAACTCACTGTCAGAAGAGCAGCATACACACTTCCTTATGCACAAATAGACCCTACATTATCCCGATCCATCTGTCCTTGAGTTTGATGAGCAGGATTAGATGATCTGGTTCAAAATGATCCCATGCGTCTGCTCAGTCAACAGTCCCTACTATCAGTGAGTCATCAGATTTATATCCACAGTTTCTAAAAGAACAGACAAACAGAGCATTCAATCATTTCCCCCTGTGTTGTTCTCATCGAGGGAATGACAGGCGACGTCGGTAGCATACACAATCCTCCAGTTATTTGTTGTTCACAAAAGGATCGAGAGTGAAGGTAATCTTCCTGAGCCGCGAGGAGAGACTCTGAATGTGCTCGCACTGACAGAAGATCACTTGAGAACAAGCTGAACATTTGTGAGGGTTCACAGAATCACTTTTATCAGCTCTGGGTCAAGACACAGCAAGATTCTGTATTATTAAAACATATACCTCGGTAACAGGTCGCCTATAGCTTACAGAACACTGTTTGAGTGTTATTTATTGTGTAACTAATGCACTTTTCGACAATGTTTGTATTCAATTAATCACATGGCAAATGTTCTCATAATAAACCGAATTTCAGGTGTTGAGAAAACAATCCACCGCACGGTCCATCTAGCAGCCGTCTTCATCAGCACATTATTTTCAATGGAATTACAGATGTTTACATTTCCATATTTTGTTAGCGTTTTAAGGACTGCTCGTCCATGCTGGTGTAAAGTATTTACAGTTTGCTTTTGGAATCAGAAACAGCAGGAGGAACATGTTGTCCAAAGATCTCTTACTTTCAATGAACAAAAACTTGGCAAATCCAGAATGTCATGACAACTCCATCTGCAGATGAATAAAGTTTGATATGTTTTACAGCTCAAATAACCTGGAACACACTTCAGCAGGAACTTAAGCTGACCAGTTTGATACCCATCACGGATTTTAATCTCATTTAAAAAAAGCTGGAGAAATCGTCTGTGGCTGTTTGCACCTGCTATATCTGACTGTATGGATTTCAATGACTACTTTTTTTTACGATGTTGTATTTGAGTGTTGCCTCTGTGTTTAGCGTCCTGTCTGTCTGTAACTTTGTGTGGTGGTGTTACCACTTAACAGATCTCTCTTGAAACTGAGACCTTGTAACTCAATGAGATTTTACACCTGTATAAATAAAGGCTAAATATTTTTTTTTTTAAAGTTTCTAAATAGAGCTTTTTTGTCCACTGCTATTATCTCAGCTTTTGGGTTGTCTTTTTTTGTAGTTCACATCAAGACATGTTGGGAAAAAAGACTAGCTTTTCATATATAGATGGGCAAAAAGGAATAAGTGTGTTTCTCATTACTCAACTATGACTTTATCATATTCCAAATTGAAACAATAAAAAAACTTCAATTTGGCAATACATAAAAAAAAAAAAGTGAAATAATATGTTTTCATAAAATGTCCCTCTTTTGTCCTCCCTCCGTCAGCCAGCAGAGAAGGCACCTCGTGCAGCTTTGCCGACCCGGCCTTCGTGGTATACTCCTCCGTGGCCTCCTGTATCTTTAGCACTTGAACAACACTTCAATATGTAAAAACTGTTGGAAAGATAATGTCTGTACGTTATCAAGAGACAAGGGGTTAATTAATGTCAGGTTTTAAGAGTTCAGTCAGTGAGAATCAAATGAATGATTAAGTATTCAAACGTCAACAAAGA